GCCATGGTTAGTATCATAGGGTTGGACTCAGAAAAGGTTCAGCAGTTGTGTAATGCAGCAAATCAAGAAGTAGATGAAGCTGACAAAGTTCAGATTGCAAATTACTTATGTCCGGTATATATGTTCTCTATAAATCTTTTGCATTCGAGACTTTTATGAATTTAATTTCACACTCCATACTAAGGTTTGCAATTACAGGGTAATTACGCAGTGTCTGGAGGTCTTAAGGGAATTGAAGCTGTTGAAGCCAAAGCTAAGTCATTCAAGGCCCGAATGACGGTATCCGCTCTCTCTCATTCCCTTATCTTATGTTCTGCTGTTTTCCCTATGCTATAAGAAACATATTGTTGGCGCCTTGCTCTGTAGGTGCGTCTAGCTGTTGCAGGTGCTTTCCACACTAGTTTCATGGAACCAGCAGTCTCGAGATTAGAAGCTGCATTGGTAGCAACTGAGATTAGAATTCCAAGGATCCCGGTGATCTCGAATGTCGATGCACAGCCTCATGCAGATCCAGACACGATCAAGAAAATACTTGCACGCCAGGTAAGAAATCAATACCCAGTAAAAGGCTACATATTCCTCTTTTTTGCCGCCACGCAAAGATAAAACAAAGACTCGGGTGTTAAAATCGCAGGTGACATCTCCAGTCCAATGGGAGACAACAGTAAAGACTCTCTTATCCAAAGGTCTTAAAGGCAGCTATGAATTGGGACCTGGAAAGGTATTTTTCTAGCCTCATAAATCCGTTAAAGGTTGCTCAAAAAAAAAAAAAAATCCGTTAAAGGTTGATGTGTTTTCTTCTTCTTCTTCTAAGTTGTGTGTTTTGTGGCATTTCAAACACCAGGTAATCGCAGGGATATTCAAGAGAGTAGATAAAAGCGCCAGTGTTGAAAATATTAGTGCTTAAGACTCTGCCTAGCGTTTTGTTAATGTATTTGAGTTGAGATTCACCATTTATAATAAGTAGATTTAAAAACTTATGTATGTGAAATCTCTCTGGTGCCTGACTAGTTTGGAATTCAAAGTTTTGTATGGAATATTTTTTACATGATATGTAATGAGAGATTGATTTGTACTGAGAGAGATGTTGACCAATGTATTGAGTTTGTGACTTGAGCATTGTTGACCAAAAAAAGAAGAAGAAATTATAAAAGAGTGAGCTCAGGTTAAAGCGAGGTTTATATCACATCCTAAGATTCATCACCACAGCTCAAGACAATTTCATCATAGCTCACATGATTATGCACCAGATGGGGGGTCGAACCCGGGTCCAACAAGTGACGGAGTACTATCCTGCCACTAGACCACTGGTGCTTTTTAAGGAATCATAGTAACATGTATATATTCATAGGTAAAAGTAACACATCAAATGCAAACTTAAAGAGTAGAATCTAAAGATTTGGAAGAATTATATTATCGTGAAGAAGTAGAAAAGAGACTATATATTACTCTTAACATATTTGGTTACCTCGATGAGGTTGAAATCATAGATTGATGAAAACTTATTAGAAAACTTAAAAACAAGGTGAAAAAATAGCTCAGTCAAAAGACATTACATCTGACAATCAGACTAATGCAAACCCAACCATTGCTAAACTCAATATCATCACAGCTCTAGTTGCACCAGCCGGGAATTGAACCCAAGTTTGTACAATGGTAGGATACTATTCTACCACTAGCCAACTATTATTTCTAAAGAAGCTTTTCAAAGAAAAGAGTATTGTAAAGCCGTATAAGGCAATTGTCAAAAACATGTGTTGTTGTAACAAATAAAACCAAAAAAAGAAGAGCTCAGAGGTGTGGCAAATCTCAACTGAAAGTTCAGGAGAATGCGAAGGACCCAACCAACGCTTAAACCAGTTTCATCAATGCTCTATTGCACCACCCTTGGATCGAACCAGGGTCTATGGTAGGGTACTAGTATACCACTGACCTAATGGTGACAATTGGTATGACAAGATTCTCTAATAATATAAACCAATAATTATGGCTTTGTTCACCAACACTCCCACTAAGCTTTGCAAAAAGCCCGTTTTCATATTTTTAAACCAAGCAACATGGTTCACAGTTCACTTATAAAAGAAAGTTCAAAGGCATAAGAGAAGAAAAAAACTATAATATGAATGCACCAGCCGGGAATCGAACCCGGGTCTGTACCGTGGCAGGGTACTATTCTACCACTAGACCACTGGTGCTATTTATTACTTCGAAGGAGGATTCACAAACAAGTAGTTTCTCTGAGAAATGGACACAACCCTTTTGTTTTGGTTTTGTTTTTTGTTTTTCAAAGAATAAGATTTGTGTGTTATCAGTATCATGCAGGTTCGTATAGCTCTTTGTGAATGACATTGTGCAAGAAGAGCCATCCTTGAGTTGTTGGAACCAATGGTGTGAGTAACTTGTAATTAACTACTTGTTCATGCTTGTAAAAGAAACAGAGTGTTGATAAGGTTTGCTTTTCATGTTTATCTTTTGTCCTTGGAGACAACCAACCGCAACAAAAGCTTTGACTCTCATAACTGGTATAGCTCTCTAATTGCATAATCAGTTTGGAAGATCAAATACATATATCATCTATTCTGAGCATTCCAAGTTTTTCTTACATATGAAATGTGACAAGTGATGATGTTACTTTTAAAAAATAGTAGTTAAACCAAGAAAAAGGAAGAAAAATAAAAGGAAGAGCTCAGGAGTGAGGCGATAACATCTGAGAAATCAGAAGAATGTGAAGGACCCAACCAACGCTTAAGCCAATATCATCACAGCTCAATTGCACCAGCCGGGAATCGAACCCGGGTCTGTACCGTGGCAGGGTACTATTCTACCACTAGACCACTGGTGCTTGTTGTAGCATACTCTTCCGATTATTTAATTATTCGTACATTATCACAACCCTCGCATAAGTCACAACCACAGGATCGAAACAGAGAGTGATGACAGAGCAAGACGTCGGAAGAAATGGCGATTCCAATGACGAGAATTATGGTTCCTCACGCACGACCATCGCTTCGTCTCTCAAATCCAAACCTTTCAAATTCCACTCGTGTTAACTTCATCTGTCGCTCTGCTCCATCAGAACTCCAACCACTTCGGTCTGCTCTTTCTTTCCCTTGGCTACTTTTTAAAGTTTGATGAAAGTTCAATACTTTGCTCGAAACTGAGAACTCATTTGTCAAATATGTTTGCATTTCTTTTAGGCCTGATTTCTCTTTGTCTGTCGGAACTCACGCCATCCCTCATCCAGATAAGGTACATCAACTCTCTGTTTCTTCATTGTATGTCATGAATTGGTTGCTTAGAGGATATTTATGCAATTAAAAATCGACCTTTTTAGTGTCGAAATGATATAGGTAGAGAAAGGTGGTGAAGATGCTCTTTTCGTGAGTAGTTATAGAGGAGGAGTCATTGCTGTTGCAGATGGTGTCTCCGGGTAAGCTTTTAGCTTTTGCTTATGCTTATGCTAAACTTTGATCTGAGTTTCTTTCAGGGTTTATCTCAATTTTGTTAAAGTTTGTATCTTTTTGTCTCAGTTGGGCTGAACAAGATGTTGATCCTTCCTTGTTCTCCAAAGAGCTCATGGCTAATGCTTCTCGTCTAGTTGATGATGAAGAGGTAAGTTTAGAAATCTCAATGGAAGTGTTAGTTTTTCTTATGAGTGATTCTTTTGTTTTTCTTAAACTGGAACAGGTCAGATATGATCCTGGCTTTCTCATTGACAAAGCTCATACCGCAACTACTTCCAGAGGTTCTGCCACAATGTGAGATTTGAATGATTTGTCCTTATTGTTATTATCTTCAAGGTTGGTTTTTGTTCCTTTTTGGATAGCTTGATGTCGCAGTTGTTGGTGAAGCAGTATTCTAGCTATGCTTGAGGAGGTGGGTATTCTCAAAATAGGCAATGTAGGAGACTGCGGACTTAAGCTTCTTCGCGAAGGTTTTGTTACTTATCCTTTTGTAATATGGGGTGCTAGATTATTGTTTTATGTTTAGCCTTTGATCAAGAGATCTTCTTTCATTCTAATTTTCAGGTCAGATTATTTTTGCCACTACTCCACAAGAGCACTATTTTGACTGTCCTTACCAACTTAGCTCCGAGGGATCTGCTCAAACTTATCTAGATGCATCGGTAAATAAATCCTTACCACTCTTCGTGATTTGGGCTAGTATTGTACCTCTGTAACATTCTTTTGCAATTCAAGCAGTTTAGCATAGTGGAAGTACAGAAGGGAGACGTGATTGTGATGGGTTCAGATGGGCTTTTCGATAATGTGTTTGATCATGAGATCGTTTCGATAGTGACCAAGCATACAGATGTTGCAGAATCATGTATGTTTATCTATATACCATCTCTCTTGTTATTTAATCTGAAGTTTAGAAGTGTCATGGTTTGTTTTTTTCAACCATTACAGCGAGGTTATTAGCTGAAGTGGCTAGTAGCCATTCAAGAGATACAGAGTTTGAATCTCCATATGCATTAGAAGCAAGAACCCAGGCAAGATTTTAACTTGATCTAAGAATGAATTTGACCAGTTCACGCAAACTATATCTGAATCCACTTGTATGCGTTTTGACTTAATAGGGGTTTGATGTTCCTCTATGGAAAAAGGTACTTGGAAAGAAGCTTACAGGTAAATAAACAGCAATGTTGATGCATGATCCGACATTTCGATTTATGCTAAACAAGAGTAGTCTCTGAGTTGGTCTCTGGTTCTGAAACTTGCAGGAGGGAAGCTTGATGATGTCACTGTGATCGTTGCCAAAGTTGTTAGCTCATGAGTCACTCTGTTCATGATAAAGTTTGTGTGATCTTCTCTTTATTCTTTTTGTACAAGTCTTTGTCGAAACTTGTCCTTTTTATCATTGTTTTGGTCTTTTGGAGATCTTATCAAAGAAATAAATAAATGGTATTTCAAACAATAAGAATGTGTTTTCAATTCTATAGAAGAACTAAAGATCATTTCTCTGAAAATTTGAATCTTTATCCTTGTGAATGGACAATCTTTAAGCTCATCTATCTCTTTATAGTATTTTCTCATAAAAACAAACAAAACTACAAAATTTCTCTGTCAATGCAAATCAGAAAAAGGCCTTGTGGTTGTAACTCTAATCTGACAACATTATTACGTGAAAACGAATCATTATACAAACAGAGATCTCTCTAAGAGCTAGTGTTAACACTAACAAACCAGTAGCTCTATGAAGAATCAATCACCTGAATCAGGCAAGCAAATAAGCCGAACACATGTTTGTGTCTTTTTCAAGCTGTGTTTGATTCGCCATTCAGATCTTGAAAGAATGATTTGACTGTTTCATAAGTGGACCAGCAGATGGCAGCTGCTGGAGCATGGAATAACATTCTTGGTAGCCAACCTCTGGCTAGTCCCTTATAGCCGTCTTTCTTCACAATTGTTCGGAACACATCGCTTATTGAACTGCTCTTGAAACGGTCACAGCCACACACACCCTGAAAACATAAACAGAGACATATTCTCAGAACAGCCAAAAAACTCGAAGATGAAATTGCTATAAGCCAAAAAAGTGAGTTGCCAAAGATTCTGAAACCTAGAGCTGACAATTTATTAACCTTTCACTTCATCTTTCAAGACATAACTGATACCACACAAATAGGAACAAAGCCCCTAAATCAGTAAATTTATTGCCACAAAAGATCAAAGTCTGCCACTTTTACATCAAGGACACTTAGACCTTAACACCTACTAAATCTACACTTTTAGTCGCCTTCAAACCAGAACTAGTTAAAGCTATGCCACAAATATTCAAACCCTGCAAATTTTTACACCTACGAACACTTAGAAGTCAAACACAGAAACATGATAGCCTTGAGACCATACCAAACTCTACACGACTATAAAGTTTGATCTCTTTTCTCTACCTCATAAACTCAAACCAATTTCAAAGCTGAACTGGTTAAAGCTATAACCTACCCAATAACCACAGCCAAGTAGAATGTCATGACACCATGTCATGACATGTGCTTGTCAAGCTTTACGTAGACTAAAAGATAACCACAGAAATCAAAACAAGTTAATCTAAAGAACCTAATCCTAGTTATATGATCACAAAATAACGATGTTTAATGTAATCCAGCATCTAGTATACACCTATGTGACTACCTATAAAGATCATAATGTATATAAGTAAGTTAGTAATTTCTAATCACCTGACATTGCAATTGCGTCTTAACAACATCAAGCGGAGTAGTTACAGCAGCAGCCAACCCACCAGCAGCAGCTCCAGCAGTAGCATAAATCAACCAACCTTCCTCATCCTCTTCTCCACCAGCGTGCTCAGGCAACATCTCCCTCAACCCCCTCTTAACCGCCTCATAAGTCGTAAAATGAACAGCGGTGAACGGAGCATTCATCAACACCGTAGTTCTATACGAAGCGTAAAAGGCACCAAAACCTTCCTCACGCGTTACTCTCTTAATACAATCCCAAACTCCTTTATAAGTCCCATTCCCAATCTGCAACCTCTGCTTAACCATATCCATTGGAGTAAACACAGCATCACTCGATATAGTAGCGAAAACACCCGAAATCGCGTGTGCAGCCGAGTTATTCGGGTTGCCACCAGATAAAAACTTCTTAGAGACTTCATAGAATGAGAAATAAACAGCGTGAGCTGGTCCAGCACCAAGCCCCATTGCCCAAATACCTCTGTATAAAGCCGATGGTCCATCGGTTTTGATAATTGAACGGAAAGCTTGACGTATTCCGATTGGTTTAATCGGACATGAACGGAGAGCTTGCATATGGGTTTTGACTGTATCTACTGGAAACATAGCCATGTGTTCGACTGAGCCAGCGATTGAACCGGCGACCATGAGCTGCCAGAATCGAAGAGTGGTGTTTTGAGCTGGAACGACGATTGCTGGATGAAAATCCGGTGGTTGTGGGATTGGAAGAAGATCGGATTCTGGGAATTTGGATGCAGTTGTGGCTTCTGTCGCCATGTTTTAGGATTTTGAGAAAAAAGGTTTGAGCTTTAGGTGAGATAGAAGATGAATCTGAAGAAGGTAAGAGGTTGTTTAAATTAGGGTTCCGAGAAGGTTGGAGAAATACCAAATCTGGAGATTTCTCCGACCAGAGAGAGGAGGAGGCGGCGGTTAAACTTAAGACATAGATAAGGAGAAAGCCTCTGTCTTGTCTTGTGGGCTTTAAAATCCTTTCGCCAAGTAATAAATATTTTCTTGTCTTAACTTCGTTTTAGCCTAAAACAAAAGGAATAAAGGATAATGAACCGAACCAAAATAATATCCTCAAAGAAAGAAAAAAATATAAATCTAAATTACACCAAAAGAGAGATAAATTGACGTTAAAACTACATGTACAATTCTTTTTTTTTTTTTTTAATTTTGAAGATATACATGTGATTAAAATTTGATTTTGGAAAGCAAAAACCATATCTTATCATACGGTTTTTTAAATAATCAAACTTTATGTAATAAAATAGTGTGGTAAATCGTCAAAACTCCACAATGGCAAGATATTTGGGTGTTAAATTTACGAGGATTTGTCATGTTAAGACTAACACTGATATAAAGACTAAAACAAAATGCATAAACTTAATGATCAAATTAAACTAAATTTTAAATGCAACAAAGCATGTTGACGTCAAAAGCAAGTTAAAACAAAATAAGCTCTACCAAAGAGTCTTTAAGAAATTAACTAACAAACTATAGACACCAAGAATTAACAATAGAACTCAAACGATCTTGGTAATATCTTTCATGAATGTGTCGATGTTAGCATCAGAGGAACCGCCTTCAGCAACCGCGTCTCGACATGTTTCACTGAGATCACAAATCTGTCTTCTCATCTGGATTCCTTCTTCACTCTCTCCATCCATAAACCTTTTTACCAATTCCTTGATCTCATCACTCACTATCAACAACTCATTCTTCTTCTTGCTATCAATCCTCATTCCAACCTTCCACTCCTCAACAATCATCTTCGCGTTCAGAAACTGATCCCAAAAAACAGGAAATGTAAGCATTGGTACTCCCGAATATATCCCTTCCATGGTCGAGTTAAACCCGCAATGCGTCCAAAACCCGCCTACCGCCACATGACATAGCACGCGTAGCTGATCACACCAACTCACTACTACACCTGAGCTACCTTCAAGAGCCTCCTTAAGCTTTAACTCACCCCCACGAGCCACCCAAAGAAACCGGATTCCACTCTCTCTCACTCCTACCACTATCTCCTCCATCTGAGCTTCAGAGACCGAAAGAAAACTCCCCTGAGATATATAAAGCACAGAGCTTTCTGGTTGCTCATCAAGCCAATGAATGTAGTCAAGTTCGTTGTCCTTGCTTCCAACGGATAGTTCTTCAAAGGGTATTAACGGACCAATGGCGTAAACAGGGAAATCAAACTTGGAAGTGAAAAAGTCAATGGCTTTTGGTTCAAGCTCATAGGTGGAAGGGAAGAGAAGGTAATTTGCTTTGGAGAGCTCACCGAAAGACTTTTTGAATATATTGAAGACATGATGACTGTAGCCGTGAGTGATCTGCAAATCACGGATTTGCGTCGGAGACAAACCAGGGATGTAATCAACGATTTCGTCTAGTTTCGATTCTAGAAACAAACCCGCATTCAAGAATTACTAATCAATGTATATAAAAAGGATTGAACTTTACGATTTTTATCAATAAAAATGGGAACTTTGCTATCTGAAACAGAGTATACCTGATGGTTCAACCGGAAAATGGCCGTGACTTGCGAGAAGATCGGAGTGAGTGAAGAGAGAGAGAATCGTGGCGGACGTAGTCCAGAGAGAAGCCACCGGAATATTCCTTTTTATGCCGACACGCACTGCCCAAATGATGTAAGTGTCTGCGATGATTGCGTTGGGAGGTGGAGAACTGAGACCGTCAAGTAGCCGCTCGAACGGCTGCTCTAATTTGGTGAGGACGGCGTCGACGAAGCCGATGAAGTCGTTGGCCCGGACGAGTTCGGAAGGGATGAGATTTGGGAGAGTAGCGAAGTGGATACGGTTAGGTTTCGGGTCGGATCCAATGAACCCGAACCATTCTTCTGTGACGACGACTGTGACGATGAGGTTTGGGTCTCGCCGGACGAGGCGTTTGCAGAGGTTTAACATTGGGTTGATGTGGCCTCTTCCTGGCCAAGGCATGGCCACCACGTGGTGGAGTCCGAGTGGCTGAGGTTTAGTTGGATTCATAGGATGTGAAATGAGTGATTCTGGTTACTGTGACTAATGAGAGATTGAGAGAAGATGCATTAACAAACTACTAGACACCCAAAGATGAATCTCAGGATTGTTTCTCAGGCACTAAGACATGTGACAACTTTAGGAATCAACAAAGCAACGTTACTTGGAGTTGTGTTGTTTGGTTCCCACTTCGCACAAGGTGTGTTTTGGTTTTTTTTTTTTTTTTTTTTTTGCATGTGGTTAGCATTAAAAGACAAATTGTCAATGGGGTCGATACGAAAGCATGGGGTCTGTGGTGAAAGGGATCTAGAGATTACATTTACTTTGGATGTCCTTTACACATTCACCGTTTCGAAAAGGTTGTGTGGTTATTTTCTCAGCTCATCAATAACACCAGACTGGTCAGATACGTTAAATCGTCATATGATAGCTTCCCCGCACCGCACTCTTAGAACGTATGGCTCTCTGGCATATATATTACTTGCGACAAAAATATTCACCTTTTTACGAAAAAAATGTGATGATTAATTTGAACGTGCATATATCCCAATCCACAAATGACATGAAATATCATAAATTTTGAGCCAAATCTAACACAATGCGAGAAAAAAGTGCATATTAATTTAACAGAATATCCAAATTTTATTGGTTAAATAAAAAAAGTTTACAAGAGATAGTTGAACAAAACAACAAAATCAGAAGAATCAAGAAAAAGAAATCATTAAGAAAAAATTATTGCAATCATGTTTCTTGTTAATGAAACAATTCAAAATCAATAGTATGGTGTCTTGTAGACGTATGGTGGTGGTGGAGATTTGTAGTTAACCTTTGGAGAAGGAGAGTAGTATGGGGGAGGTGGGGAGCTGTAGACGTAAGGAGGTGGTGGAGATTTGTAGTTAACCTTTGGAGAAGGAGAGTAGTATGGGGGAGGTGGGGAGCTGTAGACGTAAGGAGGTGGTGGAGATTTGTAGTTAACCTTTGGGGAAGGAGAGTAGTATGGGGGAGGTGGCGAGCTGTAGACGTAAGGAGGTGGTGGAGATTTGTAGTTAACCTTTGGGGAAGGAGAGTAGTATGGGGGAGGTGGCGAGCTGTAGACGTATGGTGGTGGTGGGGATTTGTAGTTAACCTTTGGGGAAGGAGAGTAGTATGGGGGAGGTGGTGAGCTGTAGACGTATGGTGGTGGTGGGGATTTGTAGTCAACCTTTGGGGAAGGAGAGTAGTATGAGGGAGGTGGGGAGCTGTAGACGTAAGGAGGTGGTGGGGATTTGTAGTTAACCTTTGGAGAAGGAGAGTAGTATGGGGGAGGTGGCGAGTTGTAGACGTATGGTGGTGGTGGAGATTTGTAGTTAACCTTTGGGGAAGGAGAGTAGTATGGGGGAGGTGGTGAGCTGTAGACGTATGGTGGTGGTGGGGATTTGTAGTTAACCTTTGGGGAAGGAGAGTAGTATGGGGGAGGTGGCGAGCTGTAGACGTATGGTGGTGGTGGAGATTTGTAGTTAACCTTTGGGGAAGGAGAGTAGTACGGGGGAGGTGGAGAGCTGTATACGTACGGTGGTGGTGGGGATTTGTAGTCACCCTTTGGGGAAGGAGAGTAGTATGGGGGAGGTGGAGAGCTGTAGACATAAGGAGGTGGTGGGGATTTGTAGTCAACCTTTGGGGAAGGAGAGTAGTACGGGGGAGGTGGAGAGCTGTAGACGTATGGTGGTGGTGGGGATTTGTAGTCTACCTTTGGGGAAGGAGAGTAGTACGGGGGAGGTGGCGAGCTGTAGACGTATGATGGTGGTGGAGATTTGTAGTCTACCTTTGGGGAAGGAGAGTAGTACGGGGGAGGTGGCGAACTGTAGACGTATGGTGGTGGTGGGGATTTGTAATCAACTTTTGGGGAAGGAGAGTAGTACAGAGGAGGTGGTGAGCTGTAGACATATGGTTTTGGATGTGGTGTGTACTTAGGGCCTTGTCTTCTATATTGTGGTGAAGGTGGTGGTGATGTGGAGTAGTATGGGGAATACTTTTTAGGTGGGTATGGTGATTTGTGTTCAAGGCTGGGAGATTTGTATTCTGGTGTTTGAGGGGATGAGTAAGGGTATGATGTCACTGTAGCCGCAATTGCACTGAGGACCACAAGATAAACCATGCAATGCCCTAAACCCATAGCTTTTGAGGATCTCATCACAACCGTCACTGCTGTTTTTATTCTTTGTTTTGGTTATGATATTTACTTGAATGACCATGAACACCCTTTATATAGTTTTTCGTTTGTGTGTAAATATTATATTATCTTCTCAACTTGGGTTCGTGTGTGGCACTCCCAAGTATTATAGTAGAGGACGTGCTAAGTTGTTTGTTTGAAAAGTAGTGAGAATCTCCTCCAAATTGTTTTTAATATGTTTTCATATTGTTTCTTTGAATTGTATCGACTCAATAGATTGAAAGAACAAAAGATACCCATCGACTGATGATTATATTAGCTATAGAGACCTTTTTCGTTTAATTGTTACGAACGACAATTTTGTATTTTTTTTTTTTTTTGATAAACCCTATCGGCTGATCCGGTCAGCCCCGGTAGAAACGCACCGAAATGCTTTAGAGTGGACTACTCTCCGAAGAAACTATACAATTTTGTATTTATGTTTTTATAAATGTATCATATGTGTTTATTTTTATATAACACAACGGATCAATTAGTTTACAAGATTCTCCTGATTTTAGAAAATTTTAAGTTAAGTGGGTTATGGGAACATGACCGTTTTACAATACTTTGACTAGTTCGTCCCAAGCTTGTGTTCAATGTATAGTTTGGTTGCTGTTTTAGAAAATTTATTAGCACCAAAAGTATTAACATTATTCCTTATACAAACGACATGACGTTTATATATGATTCTTCATTGTGTGTTAAATTAGTCTAGAACTATCTTTCAACTAATCAAGGGTTGAGATTTTAAGAGTAACTCTTCGGATCAATTTTTACACATCAAATCAGTTTTTTTTTCTAAGGATTATAAGTTGAAGAATTCCATGGTATGTATATTGGAGTTGCTTAAGGCAACCTGAGGCTATTCTGATCGTGTGAGCAACATTTGGTTTTTACGACCATGTTCTTTCTTTATGGGCGACTACGTTCACCCAATATAATAATATAAGAAAATTAACGAAGAAACTGATAATTAATTAACATTGTTCTTTCTAGTCTTTTTTGTATCTCATAACAATTCATCTGGCATAGCGTGTAGACCAATACTATTATAAGTTTGTATCGCAAAAGTAGCAATTTCAGTGGGATGGCTCTTTCTCTTGCGTTGTGGTCTTCAAAGTTATATAGCGCTGTACAATGGCAAAGGCTTCGGGTTCATTCTTGATAGTGAATCACGAGACAACAAATGTGACAACTTTATACGTTCAAGATTCAGATTCAGAATTCTGCTCTTGTTTCCACATCATCAGAAATTTTCTTTTTTTGAATTTAATGTTAAATTATATTCAAAAGAAAAATTTACGGTTTTACAACAAGTGCAACTTTGTTTAAAAAAAAATAAAAATAAAAATAAAAACAAATCTTAAAACTTTCAAAAACAAATCGAAATCAAAAGATCAAATGATTATGATTTTGCTACAGCAGATTGATATTGATAAAAACAAACTATTTGTACATTGTGATATAACAAAAGATTGATATTGATAAAAAACATGTGGAATCGTATTCAACCACCGTACAGAAGTTTGTGTATCTTGCTTTATTACTCGAACATATCCCTAACATCAATTAGACATAAGAAGATTTAAACCATCAATTGTAACAACAATGTGCCGAACAAAAAAAAGCTCATTGAACCTTAATTTGTATTGGTAATATCCCTAACGAAAGCGTCAATGTTAGCAACAGAGGAACCGCTTTCAGCAACTGCTCCTCGACTGATCTTACTGAGGTCACAAGCCATTCTTCTCATTTCCTTCACTTCTTCACTCTCTCTATCCATAAACCTCTTCACTACTTCCTTGATCTCATCTCTCCCTATCAACAACTCCCTATTTTTCGACCTCTTGATCCTCATTCCGATCCTCCAGTCTTCAACAATCATCTTAGCATTCAAAATCTGATCCCAAATCAAAGGAAACACCAGCATTGGTACTCCCGAGTATATCCCTTCCAATGTCGAGTTAAACCCGCAATGCGTCCAAAACCCGCCTACAGCTTTGTGACACAGCACGCGAAGCTGATCGCACCAGCTCACCACTACACCTGAGCTACCTTCAAAAGCCTCCTTAAGCTTCAACTCACCCCCACGAGCCACCCAAAGGAACCGGACTCCACTCTCTCTCACTCCAACCACTATCTCCTCCATCTGAGCTTTGGAGACCGAAAGAAAACTCCCTTGAGATATATAAATCACAGAACCTTCCGGTTGCTCATCAAGCCACTGGATGTAATCAGATTCTCTACCCTCATTCTCAACGTGTAGTTCTTCAAAGGGAATTGAAGGACCGATAGCGTAGACCGGGATATCAAGCTTAGAGGTGTAAGCCTCAATGGCTTTAGGTTCAAGTTCGTAAGCAGTGGTGAAGAGAAGGCACTTAGCTCCAGAGAGCTCATCAAAACACAACTTAGCTTTCTTGAAGAGTCGGTGGCTGTAACCCTCAAATATTGGTGGCAAATCTCGGAGTTTTGTCGGAGATAAACCGGGGACATAATCAACAATCTCATCTCCTTTAAATTATAGGACAAATCAAGATTCAACAAGAAACCATATATAACAGTAAAAATACTAAGTCTTGAAAATGGAACTTTCTAAGCTAAGTCAGTGATGTTTACCTGATGGTTTAGTCAGTGCATGACCGTGACTTATGAGTAGATCCGAGTGAAGGAAGAAGGAGAGAATCGTGGCTGACATTGTCCAGAGAGAAACCACCGGAATATTCCTTCTTTTGCCGACACGTACTGCCCAAACAAGGTAAGTGTCAGCGATTATTACACTCGGAGGCGGCGAATTGAGTCGGTCATCAAGAAGCTTCTCGAACGGCTCCTCTAATATTGTGTAGACGGCATCAATGAAGCCTATAAAGTTTTTGGCCCGGACGAGCTCGGAAGGGATGAGATTAGGGAGAGTGGCGAAGTGGATCTGGTCGGGTTTCGGGTCGGATCCAATGAACCCGAGCCATTCTTCAGTGACAACGAAAGTGACGTGGAGGTCAGGGTATCGTTGGACTAGGCGTTTACATAGGTTCATCATCGGGTTGATGTGGCCTCGACCTGGATAAGGCATGGCCACAACGTGACTGAGTTGGTCTGGTGATGATTGAGTTGGATCCATAGAGTGGGAAGAGTATGATTCTAGTTCGTGTGAACGTGACTAAGGAAGTGAAGAGAGTTTATATCTCTATCTCTTCGGTTGGATGAGTCATATAACATATAATAAAAAAACAGGGTGGTCCAATGTTTGGTCATTTGGTGTGCCGTATACGGCGTGTGATGACTATAAAGTTAAATTTAAAAGTGTTAACAAAATTCGATTTTTCTTCATTCCAGAAATATAAAAAGAATTTATTAAGACTTGAAATTTGTACCATTAGACTAGAAAAACAAAAACTTTAACTAATAAAAACTTAATCTTGTAAACCAAGCTTTATCGCTTTTGAGAATCCAAAAGTCACTTGTTCTAAATTTCAACTAGTTTTTATAGTCTAACTAAAAGTCGGTTCTTAACTGACTTTATGCTGGATTAGGTTGGTATTGTACGACGTCGAATGGTGAACCTACTATGGGCGCTGCCAACCTCAGAAGGAGTCTCTCACCCTTACATACAGAAGTTGAAGCATTAGTGTGGGCAATGAAATGTATGATTGAAATAGCGAGACGTGACGTGACTTTTATTACAGACTGTTCAGATTTGGTGGAGATGGTGTCTTCCCCAGCAGAATGGCCGGTATTTTTCACCTATTTGGAGGAAATTAAGGCGGATAGGAAAATATTTTCTTCTTTTTCTTTAGTTAAAGTTCCTCGAAATTCTAATCTTAATACGGACATGTTAGCACGTAAAGTGCGTACTGAACCGGTTTGTATGTAAACAATATTCTTTTCTCTTGGCTCTTTTGAGTCTGTATTATTGATGTTGACAAAAAAAAAAAAAAGTCGGTTCTTAACTCAATCAGGACTTAGCAAAAGAGTCGGTTCTTGGTCAAACCGATCGAACTAGTCGGTTTGATCTAATTTTAAGAACCTTGGTAAAGGAAGATAAGTGTCCGACACTCAAGAGTCTCAGACCCCCCAAAAAATTGGACCCGTCCTTGTTTTGATCGGGTACTCATCTTGTCATAAAAATGAAGGTGGTCCACTAGTCCAAACAGGTTTTAAAAAAGTGAAAGCGACCAAATCCGAAGCCATAATGGTTTTTATTTGTTCTTTCTTCGACTAAAATAAGGCTAAACACTGATAGTAATGGGCCTCCATATATATCTTCGTCCGATCGATGGGTTGCTACATTATTTTTTCTTCTTTCAAACTCTAAATTGGACCATAGTCCACGACTTTGAGATAGTATATTTCTAAGATAATAATGTTGTGGTATGTCTCTTATATATAGCATTCATATTCAGATGATAAAGATGATCAATTACTTAAAACTTAGTATTTTACTAAGTAACAGTTTACATGCAGTCTAAATGTTTTTAAAAGTACTCCTATATATAGTGTTGTGGTATGTCTCTTATATATAGCATTCATATTCAGATGATAATAATGTTGTGGTATGTCTCTTATATATAGCATTCATATTCAGATGATAAAGATGATCAATTACTTAAAACTTAGTATTTTACTAGTAACAGTTTACATGCATGGTCTAAATGTTTTTAAAAGTACTCCTTCAGAAAAAGACTATATTTTATATCCATAAGGTTTCTAATTACGTTAATATTTTAGGTTTCATAATATAATTACAAACCTAAGCTATTAATTATCATGCTTCTGTCATGTATTCATGAATTTGAAAATCGCTTATTATGTTTTCTTATATTTCACAGCCTGCATTTGTTAGGTAGCCAACCAACAGATAAGTTCGTTGAGGTGTGCATAAATTAATTAAAGGCAACAACTTTGGATTTATATGTAAATCTTAACTTTGTTCTGCCATTGTATGCATAATTATTTTGTCTAATCACTCTTACTTCTTGTTAAAAATTAACTTAGGTTTAGCAAATAAGAAAAATCAGTTCACACATGGCCAAAATAAATAAAAATTTGCGCACGTGCATGGAGCACATGCACGTCTACGTGTAATTAATTAGATGAATACATGCGTCTAACTTACTGATTTTTGTATATACTATACAAATTAAGAGAAATGTATTGTCAACAAAAAGTTTTATTAAGAGTCCTAACTAAACAAAGTTGTTACGCGTAAAGTTAAAGATAGAGTATTATTATCCCAATAATTATATCATATATTATGAGTATGACAGTTATAAGTTCTCTGGCTTGGTACGATCGTCAAAAACAAGTTATAAGTTATTTGAAATTTTTTTAAAAATAAATGAAATTTTGAAAGAACATGATCGATTATTTTTAGTTATTAGATTCTTTCCCATGTAGGCAGACAGTATTTTTGATATATTTTTTCGTCGAGTGATCACATGAACACTAGCAAATAGATAACATAATCAAATTGCAACACTACCACCTCCTCTTTTCTAATTTAATTTTGATGAATTAAAATTCTATATATAAAAATGGATTAGTACAAAAGCAACAGTAGAGGCGACTTTGTGTTCTAACGTGTAGCTTATGATTAATCAAATCAGGTCGGTCGAATAAATCTATTGTGAGTCAAATTGTAAAGGTTGAATCATGTAGATTTCCCTTTTTTGAATATAATGTGGATTTGCAACTTGAGGTTTTAATTTTTTTATCGCAAGTAGAAACAAAATCTACATTTTTAGTATATATAGTAAAGTTGATTCTTGAAAAAGTAGAGTTGCTTTTGGCTTTGCATGTGTTCTTCTAAGACTAATTAACATAAGTTTTTTTTTTTGGTAAGACTAATTAACATAAGCTTAATAAAGATATAAAATATTTGAGACTTTTTGGTCAATTCTTTAAACTAATCCATAATTAAATCCATGTTAAATTCCTCTTAATTTGAACGCGACAAAGTTGTGAATCGGTTTGCTTGAAAAAATAGTGTAGTTGGTACTATGGTAGAGCCATTTCTTGAAGACTTCAAATAAAATAAAATTGGGATTGGAATTAGATCTAATTTTCACTGTTCAAACGATGGGAAAAGAAAAATGAGAAGTGCGAAACCAAATTAAGAGAAAAAAAAAAAAAACAGATCTCTAATCCTAAAGCTTCTAATAACTACACATCTCATGACCATCACATGCATGCATTTAAGCTTTTGACTTATACTACTTTCCTTACACGAAACCTGTTCCCATATTCTCTTTTTTCAACATAGCCAAGAAGTAAAACTTGTCGAAACTTCACTGAGCCTTTTTGTTTTAACCAACGAAAATTAATTTTATTGAATTTAAGTCCAAAGAGATTCTTGCTTAAGAGGGTCTTGCATTTGCATTTGCATCTGCATTTGCATTATGCTGCTTGGAGATGCAAAGTTAGAGTTGAACTGCCCGGAAGACATGGCATAACCTAAGTTGTTATTGTTGTTGTTGTTGTTGTTGCAGTTACTGATGTTGTTGTTGTTGTTTTGTAGCAAGAGAGCCTTGTGGTCTTGGTCTAGTTCAAGAACTTGATGATGAGACTGTAAGGTTGGCTCGTTTTGCATCTGAATGCAAAGAATCTCGGCTTGAGCCACTGCTAGTTGCATCTGAAGCTGCGAGACTTGGTTTTGTAAGTAGGAGATTGCTCCTACGCATCCATATACTGGATCTCTCACTCGTGCGTTTGCCTCGAAAACTAGACTATTCACTGCGTCAGCTCTTTGATGAACCGGTAGCTCCTGTAACGTACAGTTTACACAAATCATTTAACCATTCTTTGTTTATATATAAGTACTTACTTGGTAGCACATAACAATTCATATATGTTTATATAGCCTTTTTCAAGCATAATTAACCAACAAATTCAAAATAATATATGAAACTTAATAAAGCTTTGTTGGAGTGAAATATTTTTATTTAATGTTTCTATGTATAAAAGTAGTTTAGCATTTAACCAAAACACACACACAAAATATATAATATAGTTATGGTGGAATGGGAAAGAGATGAACCTGCAACATTTTGCTAACGTTACTTGCTCCAAAGACCTTATGAACAATGGCGAATTTGTGAGGATCGTCAGGAGGAAAATAAGGTGCAAAGATGCAGTCTTTTGCACAGCGTCGTCGAAGAAGCTTACACGATGCACATGGCGATGATCCTGGACCGGCCATATTCTAGTACTATATATATATGATCACGACCACACCGGTTTAAACTATGACAGGAGTTGGAATCCTTACTAAGTATGAGTTCTCTTGTACTTTTGAGAATTAGAGAAGGGAAGAAAGAAAAGCTTAGAGTTAAAGGGAGAGGAGTTTGAGAGGTGTGTATTTATAATAGGTTTTTGAAAAGGCTTTCTTCTAGAGAGAGCGAGGTTGGTGTTCACATGTGTTCATTTAATTCTAACTTTAAATGGTATACTACATTATTTATTTATAACTTAAATATTAAAACACCTATCCCCATAGTTTTACAACAAGTTATATTGTATTTTCATTAATTATAGCCATAAAAACTTCTCTAATATTTTCCGTCTTTGTTTTAGACTGATACTTTTTCTCGTTACAATTACATCGATTTGTTATTTAATCTTATACTTCTAATAGTTTATTAAGCCGTATATCATTCTTAATTCGTCTAATTCTAGTAATACTTTTTTCTTTATCATGTTACCCAATTTGGTGTCTAAAGAAGACTCAAAGCTCGGTAATTAATTAACTATTGAGAGAAAAACCAATCATAAAATACTATAGTGTATAACTTTGTCTTGAAACTCTAATTTGTAACTTGAAAGAAAGAAAAGCATAATACTATGTATTTTTCTTCAAAGTTGAGATTATCTAGAAAAAGATAGGGTCTTCAGTATTTAAGAGATTTAGTATACTATTTCATTATATTTACAGCATCATAACAGTGTGTATAGATCCTTAATTTGGACTATAAGATTGATATGTACACATTAACGCAATGACGTTTCTGACCTTGAGAGAAGAAGAAAAGAAAGATGCATGGTGGAAGTGAGTGAGCACCGCAAAGGCGCGTGATAGGTTGGCGTCCGATGCAGTATGAGAAGTTTCCCCACGTTGTCCTTTGACTCTTCTCTTCTTTGTTTAACACACACGACAGTCGTACCATTTACTAACCTCTCTTATAATTATCTTTATTTGTTTATGTTTATTCTAGTCTCTCGATGTCTTAATCTTCTCTCTTTTTTTAAATTACAAAGGTCGAGGAGAGTGAGATGGGTGCATTACAAAGAAAGATATTCATTAGGTTGTGTTATAATTATAAAAATTTTAACAACAAGAAGAAATATACTATGATTTTTACAATTCATTATGATCGTGTGTATGTTTAGAGGGTACACAAGAACTAACTTGATGATGTTACAAATTCAAGATTTCGAATGCTTAAGGAAGTGAGAAAGCAAAACAAGAGGATTTATTACAAATTTGTAATGATCGACTTGGTTCAAGCTAAACGATCGTGATTCTCCTTGACTAAAAAGATCACCACACTCATGAATGAGTTTAAAAACACCTTCTGAACCACATCTAATTGAGATCATCTCAACCTAAAGATACATAGGTTTTAATAGAAGTTTAGATGATATATGAATAATTTTAGCTCTATATTTTTGTAATATAAAATAATAATTGTTACCTTCTTGACACCCCAAAACAAATAAAATTACATGGTTTGAAAAACAAAAATTCATATTTGACTTCTTCTAACTCAAAAGGAAAACGAAACAAAAAAGTTGGTTAGGCAATTAACTATAAAAAAAATATGAAAAGAATATTAGGAGAGAGAGAGTGGGTAATGTTAGGATAATACACTATGCTATGGAAGCAGTGAGAATGACGTGAAACCCTAATTAGGACCGAGACTCGTTTAGAAATGGCCTCCAACGTGAATGTTTGTTGCCTTGAAAAGACATTCACATCAAAACTTCAACCAATCTCTCCTTCACACACACTATAGTTATTAAAACTCAACACTATTTTAATCTTTTTGTAATGTGATTATGAGAATAATAATGTTGGCCAGGGAGCTAGCTAGGCTCGTGTTTTCATGGCAAGACATTGATTAATTAAAACAAGATGGTCTGAATTAAGAACTCAGGACAGAATCTCTGCGAAGCATCTTAGGTCAGCGACTTCGATGCGTAAAAAGTAACATTTGTTTTTATTGGATTATGGAGAGAGCCAAATTTTAAAACCAAACTGATAATAAACATTTTGTCTTATTTTTAACTAATACCAAAGTAAGACAAAAAACCATGGTAAACGTACGCCTCAATTCTTTAGTTTACTTTAAAGAAGATAATATCAGACTAATGGTTTTTTCTTGGCACCACAAAAAATGAAATTAATGTTTTATCTTAGCATTAACGAATGAGTGTGTGGTTTCACACATTTCTAGCAAAACATAGGTTTTGTTGCACAATAGCAGTCAAAAAAGTTGTCTTGCTTTTACCATTGGCTTGAAAACAAGATTTCATGTCTCCACATTATTACACCGAGAAGTCCTTATATATACAAGCTTAATTCTTATAGTTAAATTTATCAATTAAGATTGATGTACATGTAAAAAGTAGAATTTCAGAACAAAATAATATGAATATCATACCTCTAATTCGTGTGAAAAACGACATAATTAAATATTATGAAAACGGTATGAGTGTGATAGATGTGAAGTATACAAATTTAAATTCCGTTAAACTTTACAAAGGACTTGAATGACATGGTTAACAATATGGATGTGAAGTTTAGAGGTGTGATTAATATTATGGGAGATGATGAGTAATAATTAATTAATCCATAAAAAATCGCACAACAAGACAGACGTTGAACATCGTTTTGAACAACCTAAAAACCTAATTAACGTCCAAAAGTTGTAGATGTAGTTTCTCTTTACACAGTATTCAAAGACCTAACACCTTTTTGAATCCAAGAAGAACAAGTATTTGTGCACTTTTTTTCTTCGATTTTCTAGCCAAAAGTCCCATATGACTTCTGTCTACCTACGTACCAAAAACAATATATAAGATCTATCTTGCTCAAGAGAAATAATAAATTCGACTGTGTTGAGCAGTATTTTACACAATTTTAATTTTGTTCATTAACGGCATTTTCACCTTGTGGACGTTGTGTATATAAAAATACAAATTTCATTTGTAAATATATTTGTTCACTAATCTTTTTATTTTCCGAAAGCATAAAACTGATCCAAGGAAAATATGGGCATCAAGCAATAGTATTAGCACTTAATCTAAGTTGTATAACTTTAAGTTTAATATTTGACTAAAGACGACAAAAAATATTAATCATTTTTCCGACAACAGAAAATTCTAATTTTTGGTTAGAGCAAATAGAAACAAACCAATTTCTTATAAACAAATATATATTTATATTTTACAATATATAGTTAAATATCTTTTTTACGTGGTTATGTTAGATAAGAGTTTTTCTTTTAACTTTCCTCTCCGAAGAAGTCTTGTCTATGTTTAATAAAAATCTAAACGCATGTTAATTAATCAAAGTATACGTAACACGTGTATTCGTGTATAATGGTCAAGAAGATAATATAGTAGATGAGATTTTATATGTACATAGTCTTAATTACTAAACATGACGACTTGTCAATCACTAAACAATCATGGTTGGTTCACAACATCACATATTTTGTAGTTTCTGTATTTATGTACGTGTATCTATAAGAAGACGGGTATAATTATAAACCATCAACGATGTTACTTATACTATGAGGAGATCGAAGATACATACATACATGCATCATTTCTAACTACACTATTATTGATCTTGAGAGGGATTAATTTAGTAAGAGTCCATTGTGTGAATATAATTAAAATAACAACATAAATCCAGAGGAAATTAATGCAAGACCCACAAAACGAGATCCGACACAAGGCTAATTAGAGTGTCTTTTTAAAAGAAAAACCCTAATTAATGTCTGAAGAGATTCTTAAAATAAATGGTTTTTTGATAAAAGCCCTTAAGAGAAGTTTCAACCATCACATTTAATGAATTCCACATGAGTCCAAGCTTTCTAATCCACTCTTTCCCAAGTGATCAACTCCTCTCTTTTTACCTCAATTAATTCCACTTTTTACAATATCTAATTTATCTTACTAATTACTAATTTACAGCTTCTTTACAACAAAAATGATAAAAATATTCTAATAGTTGCCCATATATATATGTAAAATCTACGATGGCTAAAATATATATATGTGCGTCCAGCAAAAACTTGATTTCCGACCTAAGTTGACCACTATCTTAACGTAAAGAATCTAAACCTTTTAACTTAAAATAAAAAAGAAAATTATTATCATCTATACCAAGAAAAACATACTCCATAACCCTAGAAACTATAGTGTTAGAAAGTGGTTATGATTCTTAATAATATTATCAAATTCATGTGATGCATCTAAGGAATGTTTTTAAACCCCAAAATAGCGGGGACATGCAATGAAAAAACCATTTGACTAGTTTGTGACCATCGCCCACAATAATCCCTACAAACTTATTCGCTAGATAGCATATGTTATATCATCTATATTAATTAATGAGTACGTAGTTTTATACACAAAGAATTATCAACTTGGATGTGTTAGGCACCCACAATTAATGTATGATTCATCTATCAGATTTATCTAGAATTGTCTTCTAGCCCCTCCAAATTGTTATCATCAACTTCTATTAAAATACTACCATGCATCTCAAGATTTGCCAACATATTTGAATTAATCTTATAAACGTGGTTCAAACTATATAAGTCCAAATCACAATCAACCCCTATAAATAATGCTACAAGCCAACAGTCAACTATATATATTTCTGTTGAAATTGTTAATTTCCTAATCAATCCAATGAATGATTCTATAAAAATTACTACTCTTTCGATATGATTGCCAAGATCTTCAATGGATGAATTTTTACCTGAATTTTCAGTATTTACGGTAAGATCTGAAGTGTCAAATACTCAATTAAACATGCTTTTGCTTTTTTATATAAAACCCACGAAATTTGTAACTATTCAGTCCGAGTATATATATAATTTGAGCCTAATTAACATCATAAACTCTATAAATACTTAAGTAGAGGAAGAGTATTTTCTTGCATACTAGAGATTACAGGATATATAGAAGATTAAAGTAAAACGTATAATAGGACCACTCTATAGAGGAGGAGGAATAAATAGTTTAGGTGCTAATGAAGAGATATAGTATTTTAGAAATTTAGAACTGTCACATTGGGAAGTGGTTCTTCTTGCTAAATGTATTATAGATTCATTCATAAGGAAGAAGAAGAAGTAAATAATTCTCTTAAATTACATAAAACTAAATAAGAAGAAGAGAGAACAGACATCTTTGGGAGCACCTCGGAGAAAAATAAGCATGTGAGACTCGATGCACCATCATTAAATGCTCCTTTCAGATGACATGGAAGATTCGGTTCTCGGTATTTGCTAATCTTTTTGTTTCTACGTTTTTTTTTAATTTTCTTCTTCATTACTTACCCAAAAAATAAAAATAAAAACAAATTTATAAATCTTTGGAAACGGTGGGGGGAGACAAGAAGCAATGTTTGACTGAGTTCAGTTCCAGTAAATTTTGTTTTTATTAAAGTCTCTTCTGTGTTGTTGTTGAAGAGGTGAGAAGAAAACAAAAAAAAATAAAAAGACCTGAGGGTTTTTTGCTTATTAGTAGTTGAATGAGTGAGAGTGAAAGAGATGAGTACTTTGTTTCTGTTTATGTCGGAATTTAATAATAATGTCTGAGTGAACTGTAAGATTCTGTAAGGAAACAAAAAGAAGCATTCTGATATTACATCAGAGAGAGCTTTCGTGCTAATCCGTAGATTTGGACTTTAGCTATCTACTTCTTTGCCGCCTCACTCATCTTCTTATTTTTTTAAAACTCTATTAGTAGTTCTCAGTATATCAGTTATATGATCGGTTTTTATCTTCATTGTGAAATTAGACATATATGGATTTTAAACTAGTTTATCCAAAGATTTCTCTATAGCTAAAACATTTTAAAAAAAAGCACTATAAGGCCATAATTTTGCTTTGGATTTATAAATTAGGTAAAATTACATGAACCCCCTAATATAGATTTTCAACACATGATTTTAACTAGTTTTAGAATTTAATAAACTAATCACTTGATTTCGGTAAGGATTTTTAAAATCTAGAATCTACACATGATTTATTTTTATTTTTTATTTTTGGATTTAGGAAATCTAAAAATTAGCTAAACCCCTTGAATGTTATTTTTAAAAAATCAAGTGGTTTTTTCATTATATTTTCTTTGTTGTAGTTGCATTGTACAATTAATTATATGCATAAATTAGTATTGAAAATCATGATTTTTTTTCTTCTTCTTGAGTATCTTATAACGTTTAACCTTGTTATCAATATTGTTTTCAATTAATTACGTAAACGAAAATCAAATGTTGCTCTAATTAATCATGATATGTAAGAGCATGACTAAATGAGATCAGTTGCTAATACATATCTTAGCTCTCGAACCAAATATAATCAAAAGTCTGGAACATGTTTAAATTGTTGCTGGATAGAATATGTTGCTAACAGCGATTATATCTCCTCACTTACTCTAATACATAAAAAAAGCAAGCTCGTTTGTTTCCAAGCTAATACCAATTTCATTATCTCTACTGAAAAATGAATACACATTGTTTGTTTAATCACGTTTGAACCCTCAATAAGCGAGAGAATAATATTTTTAGAATTTGACGATGAATATTGATTTTTGTTTATGATATTATCTTAAGACACTGGTAGTAGGAGCCAACCAATATAATCATTTGAATGAAATAAATCAATGACTTAAAAAAAAAATACAAAATAGAATTAAAAATTATGCATACATCTTCAACTTTTTTTTTCTACCTTTTCCTTAAGCTATTCTTTTTTAGTGTCAATAAAATGTCATATGATGCTAGTATTTAGAAATTAATAGACTAATTAACCACTTGATTTCAACAAAGATTTTAAAATAAAAAAACTAAAAGTACATGATTTTTTATGGATTTCTAACTCAATTAAAATATAAAAATCAATAAATACCTTCAAATGTATTTAGAAACTAAGTATTCAATAATTAATAATTCAATTGTTCTTGTTTTATCTTGTAGTCAAAATTTAATCCTTTTACTAATCTAAACTTAAATTCCTCACCCACTGGATTTTCCAAATATAAATCCCCAATATTCTTGGCCCAATAAAACCTCTGATCAAACACCTACCTTTCTAAGCCCAACAAATCTAGGTTTTTATTTTGGGCTTAGAAAGAGCCAAGTGGGCTTCATCAAGCATACGGCTTATGTTAACAACGAACTCATATTAAAAAAAGATTTTGAGAAAGAACGATAAATTCAATTCAGTTAGGGAAGAAATAAATAAATATTCGCAGACCGGAGAAGATAATCGGAGATCGGAAACTATGGCCGGACGAGACCGTTATCTTCCATCATCGGCGGTGTCAACTTCATCATCATCAAGACTAATAGAATCTCAGTTAATCGAATCCGATCGAAATCGAGCTCGATCCTTAATCCTCGAGGATCGAATCGCAATCCAACACCGTGAAATCCAATCTCTTCACAACGACAACAAACGTCTAGCTGTGGCACACCTTGGGCTCAAAGACCAGCTCAATTTGGCCAAGCGTGAGCTCGAACATCTTCTCGAAACCGCTGCTAAAGTTAAAGCGGACGGAGAAGCTAAGGTCCGCGAGGTTTATCAGAATGCGTTGAGGATGGAAGCGGAGGCTCGTGTGATCGATGGACTCGGATTGGAGCTTGCTCGGGTTAGGTCGGATGTACAGAGGTTAGCTACTGATAGGCAAGAGTTAACTACAGAGCTTGCTATGCTTGATGGTGAGATGGTTAAGGCTAAACCGAATTCGGATCGAGCCGTTGAGGTTAAGGCGGAGATTGAGGTTCTACGAGGAGAGATTAGTAAAGGAAGGTGAAAATTTTGAATTCTCTCTGTTGATTTTGTTTGGAACTAAGTGAGATTATGGGAATGTTGGATTCGTTTATGTAGTGTGTACATCACTCATATGATGGTTTTGATAGTTTTGAGGTGGTGTATTTGGATGTTTAGAGAGTAGTAATGAATTGTTTGGGGTTTGGGATATGAAACAGGGCTGCTCTTGAGCTTGAGAAGAAGACACGAGCAAGTAACCTTTATCATGAGCGCGGTATGGAAAAGACTATCGATCACTTAAACCGTGAGATTGTGAAACGTCAGGAAGAATTGATTAATCTGGAGACCAAAGCTAGAGAAGCTGCTGAGACAGCTCCAAACCCAAGTAATTTTCTAGCTTTTTCATCATCTTCAAAGTAGAGCTCAGGGTATATATATATACTGATCAATCAATGATTTGAAGCTATTGGTTTAAATGTTCTTACCTGCATAACCAGCTTATAGCATGAATTTTCTTCTAATGTTAGGCCCTGGATTGGCTGCAAGTAATGGAAACACAGATGATATGTATGGAGGCCAAGGTCGGCTATACCCTGAAGCTAATGGTTCTCACGAGGTATACATGATATAAACTAGTAGCTTTACGATATTATCTGTTTAGACTTCTCATACTTTTACCATTATTATGGAGAATGAGAAGATTGGAACCTAATTGTTTGTAATGATTGTCTTACATACTAGACTGATGTCTTAGAGATATGTCAGCTCTCTCGCCCAAAAAGCTAGCTCTTAGGGAAACGTTATGTCCATACTGTGTAGTAATTATTGTCAAACTTGTATAACTCTCCCGTTGGTTAGTGAGATTTTGTTGTTAACACAAAATGGACTGACTTCAACGCTAATGATCGATACTAAGATGGCGCTTTTACATTTCTTTTTTTCGTTTGAACGTTATTTTTTTGGTCTTCTCTACCAGTGACGTATATGTTTAACATCACCCAAATATACATTTTCAGGCAAATGGAGCATCTGATGGTCTCTCTCAACACCCGCCTTCTCCATTGCAGCATCCTCTTAATACTCAACATTCTAGTGTGTTGTGATAGTGTCTTACTTACATTTATAGAGGTCAAATACTCGAGTTGAGGATATATTTTAAAGGTCTTATTTAGGGATTGTATTTATTATCTTATATTGGAAAATATAATCAAAATAATCATGATGCTAATATAAATTAATGGTCGTTTGATCTAATACGAAATACTTGTTACTTTAAAATTGGATAAGCGAAGAGAAAGAGCACGTAATTTGTCTGCCCTATTGCAGTTGTTGTGTAACACATGATTATGATGTTACAACTTACAGGTCTGGATTTTAGAAGTTTTGTGTTCACAAAACTAAGCCACATTTTGGAGACATTAGTTGAAGGTAAATTACAAATGATAGGACTAGCTAGCGATGATATTTGGAAACAGTTTCTTCAAGTAATTAGGAAATCATGGTGGTATCTTAAGCCATATCTTAGCTTAACATTTGCTAAGTACAAACAAAACCTAAAAATATGTATCTTTTTAAATATTTCCTACAAAATGGATTAATAAGGAATAGAAGGAGTACTTAACTAATGGTCCTAAGCTCCAATTTATCGATAATGACTCTAGGTCCCTACCAAACGCTTAGCTACCATATAATTTTTCTTTAAACGTTAATAGAACTGAGTTCGATTGTAATTAGTTTATTTTCTTTAAATAAAATACTCTCCCGTTTAACAAAAAAATGGTGAGTGACCTCTATCCACGAATCTAAGACACCCTTTTAAAATTAAAATTTTAGTTGAAACTTTAAAGCAATAGTATAAAATTTACTACATTAACCAGTGAATCTAAAGACACTATTCCAAAAAGTTCAGTAACCTGAAAGAAGAAACCGGTTTAATTATGTGGAATTGTAACTAATGAGAAGAAAAAAACACTTATTTCTTGAGACAGACCAGACCACTGACGCAAGCAAACACACCTGACAGGTTTAAACTTAAAAACGTACATGGTGAAAACACACGTGTAGAAACATTTTGCACGTACTTTAAGACCAGAAGTGGCCTCATGTCGGTCGGAAAATAGTAGCCAACATCTTCATCCTCTGAGGTTATATCATCTTTCCAACCCTATTTATATAAATATGTACACGTTTGTCTTTGTGTATGTAATATGTATTCACATTCACATATGTAGATATATCCTTAAACATTCATCATAATAACAAAAAGATAAGATCGACAAAGGACATATTTTTCGAACGCTATAGCTACATGAACTTAAAAAAGATAATCCATGAAGATGCATGATCAAATGAAAGCAATATAATTGACATATATCCATTTTAATATACCTTACTTTTACTAATTACTTCACTCTCATAAAAAAAACATTATAAACAAAAACAAGTAAAGGGAAATGTAAAAGAGATGCATCGCTCGTGTCACTATTTATTGCTTTGAATAATTGGATGATTTGTCACGAAATCGATTTAAGAATATAGGACATATCAGATAGATACAAAAAATATGTGCGACGAATATCAAAACTATGTATAAGCTAAGAGTGAAAGCTGCTCTTCAACCTAATAATGATCAAATAGATACAAAATAAACATCAACGTATATATATATTTGGGTTTATATATGTACTCACAAAAAAACAAAAATATATAAGAAAACGCATATACACACTCTAGACAAAAACGTCCCACCTCCTTCGTTCATCGTCGACAATTATATATCTCTCCTACCACTTTCACACAATTTAAATCTAAAATAATATTTTTCATAAATAATTCTCAGAATTTATATCATCCTCATATTAAAAATTGAATATAAACGCGTTAAATAAAAAGTAATATATATATAGTTTACTACGGACCACTAACTTGAAAAGAAATAACTAGAATGAGTCCATTTACTGAACTAAATATAAACTCAACAACAAATGTCTTTTCATGATCAAATAAATATAACTGAGAGAGCTATATAGCTCCTACACTAAATAAAAAGATTTCTTTAATGTTTTTATATATTTAGAGATATATAATTAAGCAAATTAGGTCTAATTATAATAATAATTAACCTAGGGGAAGTACGGCTCCGGAGGTGGCCGGAGAATCACCGTTACTTCCGTCGTTTCCGGCGATACTACTCGTTAAATCAACATCCAATCTAACGGAGGTAACGGTGGGTTTCCGTTTCCGTTTCTTTTTCTCGTAAGGGATCCCACGAGCCTTAGCTTGACTCTCTTTGACTTCCCTCAAGTAAATCCTAACGGCGCGTGCAGCGAACGGGTTCGTATCTGGCCGTCCGCCGTTTTCCTCGTAGGCGGCTCTAAGCCGTCCGATCAAAGCGTCGAGTGATCCCCAAGCTTGTTTGTGAGGACAAGGGCAAGAAGACGGTGGATCCGGGTGTCCGAAGAAAGGACAAGTCGACACGTGGACTTTGGTTTTCCCGAACTGGTCTAAGTACTTGAGGAACTCGAGCACGTGTGCTCCGCTGCAGCGGGCTAGCGTCAAGGGTGGTTTGTGGTTTCTTAGGTACTGTAGAAACGTGTTCCAGTCGCGGCGTTTTTGTGACTCGTAACGGCTTGGTTGTTGTGGTGGTACTGGTGGTGCTGAAGTGGATGGGGATGATGAGGGAGATGGGTCGGGTTGCTTTGGTGATCCGGAAACTGCTTGTTCCATGAGAAAGATCTTGTGATGATAGAGTGAGTCTTTGTGAGTGTTGTTGTTTGTATAGAGAGAGTTTTTGAAAGATAAAAAGAGAGAAAAGTGTGTTTCTGAGTTTGGAATGGTGTGTGTGAAAGAGAATTGTGAAAGAGAAGAGACAAAAGAGTGGAAATTTAGAAATGTAGAAATCACGTGGCCAATGTCCCTACCAAAAGTCCACCTGACAAAGTTTTTGCTGAACGGTAGATTTCTCTATATTTTTCTAAGTGTTGATTGATTGGTATCGAATGGTTAAATACGGTTTACATAAACCAATATCTGAATTAAAAATGCAGTTAATGATTGCTGCCATCATCATCTCAATGGAATGAATTTTATTGAAAATTTTATCTGATAATTATTGTGTTATGTTTTTTGGTTTGTTCGGTCTAGTAGTAACCGCGAAGAGTTATCATCTAAACGCGAAATTTACTTGATTAATTCTATTTAATAAAATCAAAATGGTATTACTCGATGAATATGTTATATACTCATATGGTAAAAATTCGGATTAATCCTATTTGTAGAAACAATGCAGCTTCTAGTGAATGACGTCGTATATGATATTGGAATGACCCATTTATTGGAATCTCACCTAAAGTTGACATTAAAGAATTGATAAGACTCCACCACCTTTATATGGAAAATGAAAGAAACTAGTAGCTAGACTTCTAAATTAAATCCACACTATACATATTAACGCATTGTATCGTATTTCAATATATGTAGTGTTAATACGATGATCATAACAATTAACACACCAATACAAATTATTAGGATGTATAATTCAGGAATCAGGAATGTCATAATATACAAGTGTTATTTACATATGTATCATTAAAGTTAACTCATCATGGAACCTATATTTTCCCACACATCCTCTTGCAATCATGCATATGATATAGTCATGAGTAGATGAGCACCGCCATGATAGCCACACCATTGATTAGTAATCTATAACATAGAATGGTGGATTTGAATGAATTAAAAAGATACCGATCACAATGTTATGTGGCACTCTCTAAGAATCATAATTATTGGTTGGTGCTTCTTTGTTTTTCCATTTTTTTTTCTTTTGATAGGTGCTAATGAGTGTAATGACCCACCCATCACATATCTTAAATATTTTTACCAATAAAAGATTTCTAGACTAAACAATAGGATGCCTTAAACATTTATAGATCGGTGATCATGCGTTCGAAAACATTGACTAGTTTTGCTTTTATATAATCTTTGCCTAAAAATGGTTTAAGAAAGAAAAAAACTTTCAATGAGCATTCAATTAACACCTAAGCGTAGTTACAACAATTTACAAGTTTAGTGGGTTTGAAATCTGTTTACATAATAGTATCATATATATCTTTCTCTAACCTAATTAGCACCAATATTATATCATATAATTGATTAAATTATAATAATTTGATTCATAAGATTTTATATATGAATGATATATAAATAAACGATGCCAAAACAAATGATATTTATGGTATGCAATGTTAATCAACATCTTTCAACTTTGTTATTGCTCGGCGAATGTGTGTGTTATATACCAAAATCTCGTTGAAAGAGTGACATGCACATTATAAAATGATATAAGATTAGATCAATTCAAACAAATGATGTCTTGAGCTGTTTTTGTACAAAGTTATATATATCATGAATTGAATGTAATATGTGAGTTCTGACACATTAATAGTTGAATATATGTGAATTAAATATCTACAACATTAGTATGTTTAAGATTAGATTTTGTATCAATAGATAATTTGGAGTGTGATAGAATCACATGAAGCTAATTATTGGTAATTCATTTTTTATTTTACATTGATTTTCATGATGATGACTGGATATATGTGTGTGGTAGAATCACAAAAAACACAGTTATTAGGATATTCTAAAGCAATAGTAGAGTTATGATATAATCTTTTGTTTGCAAAAAAAAAAAAAAGAGTTATGATGTAATATTTTGATATTCGATTTGAGAACTAAAGAACCATTGAATATATAAGAGACAAAATAATAAAACATGTAAACATGAACAATAAATGTGTTATACTTAAAAAAATTACTATTTAAGGATTATTAAAAACAAAAAATTAGCATCATTCGAGTAATTATGTGAAATACAATAGTGTATATATAATTTCATTTTTTCAATGTTATTATTAAGACATTGAAAAAATTATTGAAAAAATGAAATTATTAAGGTTGATAAAAAAATGTTATTATTAAATTGATAATACTTCACAGAGAAATCAGAATTGGGCCAACGACTACAAAATACTACTATTTTATAAATTAGTCTCATACAAGATCTACATATCTCAAATGGGCTCAATATTTGAGTATTATCTAAACAATTATTATTGGTGTTTTTGAGAAGTTTAAAGCAACCTCAAACTACTCCTATTTCCAAGTTTGATAGTGCTTATTTTACAAAATTATCGGCATATTCTTTTGCTCTTAAGAAAAATATTTATTTATGAAATAGTTGAATTCCTTAAAGCTACATTTACCACATTTAATGAATTATATTTTATATGTATTTTTTATATGTATTATCTAATAGATGAATATAATGAAATTTTTCTTTTTACACAAATTAATAACTCTACACTCTTATTTCTTTCTACCATAAAACTTGTTTTCGAAATCAAATTTTAACTGCTATTAAATTACATAACAAATTTACATAGATTATTGACCGCACGCACCAGCTCCGCTAAGTTGTATCCAAATTTGTTCTTGTAATGGCTTTAATTCAACATAGTTCCTCATATCCCTTGATTGAATATTAAAAAGTGGTGGTAATGGATAATCACCATTAGATATAGTATATTTAGAAGTTTGAATGTGGTAGCATATTGGAAAGATCATTCAAGTTGGTTTAAAGAGTGATTATCAACGGCTTGTAATGTCTTAATCAAATCACAACTTTTTGAATGATAATCATCTTTTAGTATAAGTAGTCGTGCTTTCAACAAATATAGAAGTTGTCTCTTACCAACAAATGTACTACTATTTGTGCAAAAATTTGGTTGTGGGGATTTCAATAAATTGGTAAGAATTCCACGCTTTATTTACATATTGTATAGTTTGTAAATTTAATACATTGTTTTGAATATTGTAAGTGATGAGTTTGAGTTTGTTGAGGAGGAAGATAAAATAGCAAAATATGAGATGTACTGATTAGATTAATAGCAACAGTGATTTTTTATTTTCTCTACTATACTATGGTTATGTTTATTAAGTTTATTCCAAAAATATTATAAATGGGAGGCGAAATTAATTTGCATTAAAACCTTAATATTGGTTAGTTTGTTTTATTAGTTTCACATCTATTAATTCAAATTTATCATTTATGAAATCAACAATATAATTTTATGACCATTAGCTTTATCTTATATATGTAAGAAACAAGATAAAGTAAAATGAGTTTTCATGAGTATTCTATCCGGACATAGTTTTTATTGGGCATGCACGTTATCCATTATAGACCTACCAGTTATAGTCCACAAAAAAAGTATTTGCATGGACTAATCTAATTAGATATTAAACGAATCATTTGACAGCTCTGATGTGAGATTATCTAACTTACATGTTCTTTAATTCTTTTTATTTTTCGTTAGTTATCTTCTTTTAGGCAAAAATTAGATATTAATTTGATTGATAGAAATCAAAACTTAAAACTTAAGGAATTCTTCATATTAAGCATAATTCTTATAAAATATTTTACATCATAGTTATAAAATTGTTCCAATAGTTTATTAGTAATTAAAAATTGTTCTTTAATTCTTTTATCTTTTGGTAAGTGATGTTCTTTTATGCGTAGATCTTAGTTTAATTAATAGATTTATATATAAAAAAAACTTAAAACTTAAGGAATTCTTCATATTAAGCATAATTCTTATTAAATATTTTACATCATATTTAGGAAATTGTTGCAATAGTTAATTAGTAATTAAAAACTTGAGATTTTAAATTATAATTAAAAAATTGAGATTTTAAATTATAATTAAAAACTTGAGATTTTAAATTATAAAAAAGAAAAATATCCATTTATCAAAAAAAGTTATAACATATTATCCAATCTGTGTTTTTAAAAGCAATACTAGGTAATATCCCGCGCATATGCGCGGGTTGTTGTATATTTATTTAATTATTTTAATTTATTATTACTGAAAAAATAGAGTAAATAAATTTTAATGCTTATGTTATTTTTACATGTTATTTATTTAAATCATACAATAGAAGCATACATCCATATCTTTTGAATTTATTCGTTGATTAATTGTTCAATTAATCAATTTTGATAGTAATTTTTTTAGTACTTTTAAGTATTTTTTGATAAAACAATAATATTGTTAATGATAAAATAAGAATGATATTGGGAGAATTTTAAAAATACCCCTTTAAAAATGCCACTTTTTAAATTTACCTCCTTTTCAAACTTTGTCAAAACAACCACTAAAAATGTTGAAATTTATCCAAATATGTGTGTAAACTTATAAATATACACAAAAATTACCTTTATTTGTGTATAAGATTTTATTTATTTCAATGTCTTACAAATTGGTTTGAATATAACAAAAAAATATTTTGTTAAAATAATTACATACTTTGAAAATAAAATAAATATACATGAATATGTGAGAAAGAAAAAAACATATAAAGTAAAACAATGAAAATGGTTTATTTAGCTTGATTTTCTTATGGTGCGATGGTCAGAAATCAATATTTTTGAATCCCATCGATAAAGTAATTTCCTTATAGCCATAAAATATTATTATACATATGTATTATGCATTTAATAGTATAAAAACAATGAAAAAATGAAGAAGTACATAAAATAAAGAAGAAATATAATTGAAAACAAAAGTTTTAACCAAATATATAATCAAACTCTTACAATGATATCTTAATTGAGCTTTCAACCCATGCAAGAACATTAAAAACTAAACAAAGAAAATATTGAGAATATCAGATATGGTGGAGGAGGATGTAAAAATGAGTATTTATAGGATAAAATATGATGGAAGTTACAATTCTAAAATAATTAAATCAGAGGAGTTATAATTATATTTTATAGTGTGTTAATTGAAGTTAAATGGAGGAAACAAATAGTCAATTGAAAGGTTATATAATTTAAGTTACAATTTAATAGTAAAGTGTGGATTTCAAGTAAGAATTCAAGTATATGACTAAATGTGTTAGATATTTGGTTTAATTAAAAATAAATATTATAATTAAAAAATAAATGCTAAATGGACAAATAAGGAGAGAGTGAAACCTTAAAAATTCCCAAGAAATAATTATATTTTTAATCTCTTTTTATATTCCTCTTAATTTAAGTTATATTTCTAGGTTTAATTATATTTTTCATCCTTGTAGTATATATAATAGATAAAAAATGGAATATCAAATTGTTTTTTAGATAGGAAATCAAGTATAAAAATCAAAGTTAAAACAAATTATAATGTTCTTTGTATTATTACATGTTGAATCACAAACTAAATATAAGGATCATTATTCTTAAAAGAATGTCTTACAAATTGGTTTGATAATTATATAATAAAAATTTTATTTTGTTAAAAAATTACATACTTTTGAAAATAAATTAAATATACATAAATATGTGAGAAAGAAACAAACATCCAAAGTAAAAGAATGAAGATGGTTTCTTTAGCTTGATTTCTTATAACCAT